GAAAACAACAGAAAAGGCGGGTGCAGCTAAACAGAACATACATATTTAGCGGGGGGATGCACTTCCGCAACAGAGGGGGGGGGTCGGTCCGGGGTTGCTTTTAGGGGAGACGTCTGCAGTCAGGACAGGACGCCACATCTACTCCCCAGCGGCCACAGAAGTAGCAACGACGAGCCATGACTGGGCATTCCTTGGCCCGGTGGTCGCCGTCGCACCGCCTGCATCCACTGAAGAGCAGTGGGGACTGTGGGGGGATGGGGGAGGTTTGTGGGTAGCCGGGGGGTCGCCTGACCGTTTTGGGGTTGAAGTTCTTGGAGGAATGGTAGAGGCTGGGTCGAGCGATGCGGAGGGACATCAGGGCAGGGGCAGGTGAGGATCGGTGTGGGGAATGGGGTAGGACGAGGATCGGTCTTGGGGGGAGAGGGCTGCGGCATTGGGTAGGCGAGGTCTGGATGGGAGTACGTGTGGAGCTCTGGGTGGTCATGGGTCTTGGGGGTGTGGTCCTTGAGCGTCGGGTGGGGGCTGTTGGTCTAACCTGTAGGGGAAGTAGGGCGAGGGTTCCGATGAGGTCTTTAAGGGAGGGGCTGGGAGTCTGGGGGGCCGTCTAGAAGTCGTCGTCGGAGTCGAGTGGCGATGGGGAGTTGGTCGAGGGGGTTGTCGAGGGGGAAGGGGGGCGTCGCATGGGTCGACCTCGTCGTCGTCTAGGGATGGTGTCGTCAGGGGCTTGTGGGGGGGTTTCTCCTGGGGCGGTTCCTGTGGCTGGTCCTGCGGTGTTCCTCTTTGCGGTTTCGGTGGTTCCGCCTGTGCTCTCCACCTCTCCTGCTTGGTCTCGTACCGGGCCTGGGCCAGCATCTCCTCTTGTGCTCTCCAGGCCGCTGAGGGGTATGCTGGTGGGGGAGCTTCCTCGCCTAGGGGGAGTGAGTATTTCCCCCTTCCATAGGGGACTCTTCCACTGGTCGGCGTCTGAAAGGGGTCGAAGGTGGTAGGGTCTCAGGTCGGTAATGTGTATCTTGGGTATCCTATTGCCTCGGGGGTCTTCGAGGTCATATAGGCTAGGGGAAATTATGTTAACAATTTGATAGGGGCCGTCGTATTTTGGGGCTAATTTTGCGGCGAAATGCTGGGCCGCTTGTGATAGGGGTCGGTGCCTTCTCAATACTAATTTACCCACCCGAAAAATCTCATCGTGTCGGCCATCGTCATAATGTTCCGCTTGTTTCGCGAAAGCTTCGCCCATGTATTTTCTAGCGAGATCGTAGAAGTAATTCATTTTTTCGATTCTAATTTTCCACGGGCCAGTGGGAGCGGGGTCAGGGGGGTTGGGGGCGCCATTTGGTGGTTTGATGAGGTGACTGGGGGGTGGGGGGATGCGACCCATATTGAGAAACGCGGGTGAGATCCCGAGGGAAGAATGGATCGATTATTCAAGGCAAACGCTAACTCCGGGAGATGCTGGTCCCAATCGCGATGATTGTCGCCAGCGTAAATACCTATCATGGGTTTGAGTGAGCGATTAATTCTCTCCACGGGGTTGGATTGGAGGTGATAGGGAGTGGTGGTGATGTGGGTAATACCTAATTGGGCTAGGGGTTTCGCGAGTTCTTTTCCTACGAATTCGGTTCCGTTATCGTTGAGGAAAAACTGCGGTGTTCCCCAGCGTAAAATCACTGTCTCGTACAATACTTTCCAGATGTTCTTGGCGTTGGCCTTTCGAAGGGGTTTAATTTCGACGTACCGGGTGAACACATATTCTAACACGAGGAGGTATTTATTGCTGCTAGGGGGGAATGGGCCCATAATGTCGCCCGCGACGGTGGACCAGGGTTCGGAGGTCGTTCGCTCGCGCATTAACCCTTTGGGACTGGTTTGAATTGACTTATACCGCTGGCATTGTCGACAAGACCTGACAAATTTGGCCACATCACGGTAGATTCCGGGCCAATAAAAATATAGGGCGACGCAGTGATACGTCTTATCGATTCCACCATGGGCTGCGTAAGGGCTGTCGTGGGCGTCCCGTATCGTCTCGTGTCTCAGTCCCGGGGGTAGAACGGTTTTCCAACGGTTTAGGTCAGGGACGGTGGGGTCGATCTGGGGGCAAGGGCGAAGAAAATATAACACGTCGTCCTCTACAGTCCAGTCGGGATACTTGTGGGGGTTGTTTTGTACGTCAAGTTTCTTTTTCTGGTACCATCTATCAGGGGAGGAATTAATTAACGCGAGGGCTGTGAGGGCATTGGGGCAAACACGGGAAAGGGCGTCGGGGACGGTGTGGAGGGAACCTTTTCGGTGAACGATAATCATGTCGTGGTTCTGTAATTCTAATGCCCATCGGGCCACTCGACCGGTGGGATTTTTAAAATTTAATACCCATTTTAAACTTGAGTGGTCTGTTATCACGGTAAATTTCCCCCCTTCGATGTAGGGTCGAAACTTACACTTGGCCCACAATACTGCTAGGCATTCCCGTTCCGTCGCAGTGTAGTTACGTTCGGCCGGGGTGAGGACCCTACTAGCAAAATAAATGGGTCTGTCTAGTCCAGTCGACGAGTTTGGGTGGGCAGGGTCGGATCCAAACTCCGATTCCTGTGTCAACACCGCTCCTATCGCCATGTCACTTGCGTCCGTCTGAAGGGTGAAGGGTTTGGAAAAATCGGGGCGAGCTAGGACGGGAGTATTCGTGAGGGAGATTTTTAATTTATTATGCGGTCTGGTGTTCGTCCGTCCAGGTCCACGTTACATTTTTTCGTATCAATCCGAGCAAAGGGATTGTGTCGTCGGAGAGGGAAGGCAAAAATCGAGAATACCACCCAACCATACCGAGAAATCTCTGCAACTCCTTTACATTCCGAGGGGGTGGGTAATCGGTAATGGGGGCGACTTTATTTGGGTCTGCTTCTAACCCATCGGGGGTCAACAAATATCCAAGAAATTCTAATCGATCGCATAAGAAGTCACATTTATCTACGTTAATTGTCAGGTTATTTTCTTGTAATTTTTTGATTAACTGGGCCACAAACCATTCATGTTCTTCGAGGGTGCGGGTAAAAATCAAAAAATCATCAGCGTATTTCCGTACGTTGCTCGACCATTGGGTGGGAATAATCATGTCCGTCAGTAATTGAAACATTGCGGGGCCGTTTTTTAGTCCGAAGGGCATCCGTCTATATTGAAAGAGTCCGGGGGGAAGTCCAGGGATGGCGAAGGCAGTTTTCTCTTTACTGTCGTCATCAAGGGGAATATGGTGGAACGCCTGACTTACGTCAATTTTGGAGACGTACACCGCGCCGTGGGCACAATCAAGTAAATCTTCTAGACTCTGCATGGGGAGGGAGAGGTGCTTGGTCACGGCGGTAAGGGGGCGGTAGTCTATACATAATCGGTAGCTAATGTCGGGTTTTTTAACTAACACCGGCCAGCTACACCAATCGCTCTGGGATGGTTCGATTATATCTTGTTTCAATAATTGGGAGGCTATTTCTTGTGCGGCTTTTAAAATATGGGGGGCATATCTACGCGTCGCGCCACGGATAGGGGGATGATCTTGGGTGTCTATGTGCATCGTGAGTAAGGGGCAAACGGAGGCAATTTCGGGGGCGGGATTTATCCAACTCTTGAACTCGGCGCGGAGGGTTTTTAATTGGTTTTCGGGGACTACTGCGAATTGTGCTAGATCACAGGGGGGAGGATTGGCTAGATTAAGGGGTTGCCGTGGGGGGCCTTCACCGTCTGAAGTATACCACACACTAATGGGTTGCGCCGAGAGCTCGAGGGGGTGACTATCGGGGGTGTGCGTGTCGCTGCATTCAAGGGTAAATTCTAACGCGTACTTGTTTTTTCTGGCGTACTTGTCAAGGTCCACGCCAGCATTGGTACTAATAAATGATCGATTCGCGCCCGAGTCGATCAGGGTGCGGAGTGAACGTTTTCCTAATTTTATTTCAACGAATTTACGGTTCTCTAGGGGTTGGTCAAAGGTGAGGGTAAGGAAATCTTCGTAATCGATATAATCGGGGTTAGTTGGGTCATTGAGGGTAATAGTGAACAGCTTGGGGTTGTCGTCGGGGATAGTGTCGGTCCCGGGGGAAGAAGGGACAGGAGTTTCAGGGATAGTTGGGGGTTGTTCGGTAGGATTGGGGTCTGTTGAGAGGGTTTCTTGGATGGGTTGATTATCCTGGAGGGCACTGGGTGTGGGGGTTGGGGTCATAATTCGGTGTGGAGTCGGTAGTGATACAGGGGGACGTGGGCTCACGGCGGAGGCAGGCTCAGGAGTGGATGGTACGGTTATCGGTGATGGCTCGGGGGGTGTAAGGGGGATGGGTTCAGGACAGGGTGAGTTTCGGGGTTCGGGAGTGGGTCGTACGGGAGTTCTCTTGGGGATGGGTTGGGTACGATAATGAGGACGTAAGATTAATCGGTCATCCCGCGGGGGTGGTGTGGGTTTAACACCCCCGCTCCTTAGTTTCCCGGGTTTTGGTACGGTCCATAGGATGGTCGGGGGTAGGACTGGGTAGGGCGAGCATTGGGATAATATCGGGGGGGTTGGTTTGGTTGCTGTGGGTTGAGGGGTGGTTGTGGGAAAAGTGCTTGTTGGGCGAGTGGGTTAAGGGGGCATTCTCGGGAAAAGTGGCCCGGTTGGTGACAACGGAAACAACTGAGGTATTCGGGGTATGGGGGTGGTTTTGAATTTAAGGGTGGTGGGTTCGTGGGAATACTCATAAGAGGTGGGATCTGGCGTGGAGAGGGTGAAGTGGGATGGGGAGAGGTTGGTCCGGTTATGTCGGCGTAGGTCGGTTGTCTTGGGGGTGAATTTGGTCTGGCGTTACTGTTCGTCTGTCTGGATAATGCGTTACGTCGGGGTTGATACCTGTCATCTGGGGGAGGGAGATAGGGTTCCTGGAATATTGTTCTGGGGGGACGGTATCTGCCCGAAGGGGTTGTGCGCCGAGGGCATGATTTTGTGGGGTGTCAGTATCGGGGGAATGACGATTTCTGGGGTTGTTGTGAGGGGGGGCTGGTGAAGGGGTATGGATTGCTGAGGGATGTCTATACCGAGACGTATCTGAAAGGGTTCTCTGAATTAGCCTCGCGACCTCAATGAATTGTTCCATAGTCGTGCATCGATCGCGACCCATCTCTTTGAAGTAAACCGGATTAAGTTGTGATTTTAAAATTCCCAATTGTCTTTGTAAGGGGTGAGGGGGATTGAGACTCGAGAACAGTCTACGGAGACTGGTCATATAATCGCCTACATCTTCGTCTACGCCCTGAAACCGTTGGTGAATATCCTGCCAAATACTCTCCTCTTGATCGAGAGGACAGTACATCAATTGAAATGCCCTTAAAAAATCGTCATAACTATATACCTCTATATAACTATATAACTCCTGATGGTTGGCAGTTCTGTCAAATACCAGGAGTGGGCGTTGTTTTTGAAAGCTGAGGGGAGAGCCCGCAGTGTCTCCGTCTCAGTTAGCCCGTTCGATTTGCAACATAATGTAATGCTGTCGAGGAACTTATACGGATCCTCTTCGCGAGTTCCAGAGAAGCTAATTCCGTCTCTTTTAAAGATATTACTAACCCTCAGATCACGAGTTTGCAGATCATATTGCGTCTCCTCACGGAAGGGGGCCCTATACGTATCCTGGAGGCGAATTTGGGGGAACCCAATAGGAAGGGAGGGGTCCGTAGTTATATGGGTTGAGGGTTGAGGGTGTGGGATTAATGGGTCCTGGGTTTGAGAATATACTGGGTATGAATTCCTGGGGGTAAGCACGGGTCTTGAGGGAAGGGTCTGTGTGGGGTAACATCGGGAACTAGTGGGGAGGATTTGAGGGTGGTCGACTTGGTAT